TGTTATCTAATGTGTCACAAATATTCTCTTGTCTCTTCATGAACCAGTGAACCCACTTTTTTTTCTCGTGTTGTTAATGTCAATTTGTACTTCATAATATCTAAACTTTATATATTCAATGACTGTAAACGACAATAATGTAAGGTCGTACTTACTGAGAGATTGTTTTCAAAGTTTTTTGTTTAGGGTCTATTTGTATTTATTTTGTTATAATATTTTTATTCTGAAATACCTGAAAATCACATCCCTGGATTCATGTCTATGTATTCACTGATTCCTTATAGCTCTCGATTGTGTAACTTATTTATAGACTAGATTAATGTGAAATGTTTTATGAACATCTGGTTAAGATTAAGAAAGCCTTCTTGGAGATACACATAGCCATACACAAACATGTCAACACTTCTTTAAAGTGTAAAAGTCCTAAAATACAAACCTTACAGGATGATTTTGATGAGACTAATATTCTGATTTTGACTGATGGTAAAGGGGCTTTAAGACTAAAAAGTGGCAATAAATGTAGATATCCTACGAACAAAATGCAATAGCACTTTTAGCCATAATGTAAATACTCTATAAGAAACATTGTTCAGCTATTTATTTTGTAAAGAACATGTTTGCTATGAAATACAGACACTTTAAGAATGTTGTCTCCTGATGTCAGTATATGTATCATATTGTTCATTGAAATATAAAGAATATAAATGTTTTATGTTTATGTAGGTTAGGTGAATCATGTTTTTAAAAAGCTTATTCATGAGGGCATTTTACAAGAAAAATCCCTTTTGCACGAGTTTAGAAAGGCCTGGTGATGGTTGTATTTTTAAAGAGACTAATTCAACATTTATAGCTTGTCAATGTTATTTGAACTGGATACATTTATAAGTAAATGTTGTTATTGTCACAACACAATTCTAATAGTAGACAAAGTATCAAGAAAACAAAGGGTCCATCTGTAAGCCCCTGGACGCCCATATGCAGGAAAAGTTTCTAACTGTGTAATTTATGATTTTGTGTTCATAATATCAACTCTCTAGAATAAAAAGTTACCTCCCAAATATTTCTGAGGTTTTGTCATGCATGCATTTCAGCCGTTGGGTGTTAAGTGGGCGTTGTTTGCTCTGAGATTTATTACTTAATACATTTCAAACCAATAATAAAAACATACACATATGTACTGCCCAATTGAGTGCAACAAAACTATTCTTCACCCAGTGCTCAGCCATCATGCCTGTGTGTCCTCCCAGTCTGCACATCAACTGGTGAGGATGGCGGTTCGTCTCGTGGTGGATTTGGAGAAACAGTGGGTTCATTTTGGTGAGCTGTGCCAGGTTCATGGAAAAGCTCTCCTGCATGTGCTGCCCTCGTAGTTAACCAGTTTTGTATTCATTGCATTAACTAATGCTTAGTGACGGGATGGACGAATTATGATGAAGTGACCAATGTGGGGTAATTCTTTCTAGCAGGGATGCAGAAATATTTAAAAAAGATATAGAAACCACTAACAATTAGCATTAATATCATAGTCACAGCAAAGACACTTAAGCCCTCCTAAAGCACAGATTCCTCATCAATTTCAAAGAATATCGACACCTAACTCATGTTAGCTATCACCCACCTGTTGGCTATGTTAGCCGCATACATAATAGAAGTATCTAATTTAGCACTCCGTCACGGAGGGGGAGGGTGTAGGGTGTAGGGTTTGGTTTGAAAAAGGGCCTATGTGTGTAGCCTACCGACTACCGGGGCCGTATCCGAATTGCCAAGTACCTACTCAATCTTTCAGTATGCAGTACGTACTATTCGTGCTGCATACTGTTAGTACCTACTATTCAGTAGGCGTGCACAGTAGGCAGATATTTATGCCTACTTCGTCTGATTCAGTCAGTATGGAAGTGACGTCATTTACGTTTCCCGAACCGGCCGCATCCACCCGTTTTCTTTTGTTTTTTTTTGTTTAGCTTTATTCAAGAAGAGTAATGCGCATATACAGTCAAGTAAACAAAAAACAATATCACAATGTAAATCAAGTAAATGGCAGATTGAATAACTAAATAACATACAGTACATAAAGAAAAATACAAATGAAAGACAGTAATTTACAGAATATAAAGTAAAATAAACCAATAAAGACACATTTAAATAGTGAAATCATTATTTAAATAGAGGGGGAAAGCTTTTATAATAATGCAGATATTTGTTATTTTTTCTGTTGTTAATTAAGTAGTGATTTCAGTCGGGACTTTAACTCTAGATTAAAAATTGATTCAATTAATCCACGCTCGTTTGTTTTGATTTGGAGGCGGACATGAAGTGACGATTTACATTTAATTTCGCACTGCATTGTGGGTGGGAAAACACAATTCATTTCCTGAAAGCACGCATCTGATCCATACTGCATAAAACCCGGAAGTTAGTATCCATACTGAAATGTTCAGTATACTGTGCAGACCCAAAAAATGCATACTGAATGACCACGGAAGTTCAGTATACTGAAACTCCATACTGAATAGTACGTACTGCATACTGAACTGTGACAATTCGGAAAGGGCCCGGTTCTTTCAAATTGCCGCCATTTTTGTTTCCGAACGTAAAAAAAACAAAACTTTATTAACACAAAACACATTTATGCAAGTTTAATGAAACTCTTCACACAGGTACATTCAACCGGGCTGTGACCATAGGCTGTGACATGCAGCTCTCCCTCTGTGTTACACCCTAAAATGTCTGTGTTGCTTCTTACATCAGAACAATAGTTCCTATTGTTACACAGACTATTTTAACTTTTGCTGGGAAATGGCTTTCCCAATTACAAACCCTGGATCACCAGTGACATTAAGACATGCTTCAGCAAGAAAAAGGAGGACCTCAGGGATGGAGACAGGGTGAAGCTCAAGAGTGTGCAACATGAGCTGAAGAGGGCATTAAAGCAGGCAAGAAAAGACTTCAAAAAGAAGGTAGAGAGGAAGCTGCAGCATAACAAAATCAATGAGGTGTGGAGGGGAACGAGGACCATGCCAGATGATCACTAATGATGATCATATTGACAAGGCCAATGTCTCAACCATTGTTTCAACAGGTTTGATGCCGGCTAGTGTCTGTCCAGTCCCAGCTGGTATAGCCTCACCCATTCTCTCTGCTACCATTTTAGTTGCAGAATACCTCCCTCATCTCCTCCACACAGCTGCACTCCTCACACTTCAGCTGCAACTTCCCCACACCTGGGACCCCTCCCCTGCTCTTCACAGTAGATGATGTGAAGGTCAGAGCTTCAGAGGCTGCACCCTGCGGAAAGCAACCAGTGCTTATGGTGTGTGTCCGAGACTATCATCCAGCCACCCAGCCCCCCAAAACACAAATACACACACACACAAACACACAGCCACTAGGCTTCATATCACATATTCCAATGTCAGTGACTCATGACTTGAGCTGTGGGTGGAACATTCTCTATACTCTCCATGCACTGCAGGAGGGAGGAGAGAGCAGTTGCCAGTGGGTCATTGGCTATCATGTGTGGAAGCAAGAGCAGTGCTCACTCCAGTGGCTGGAGAGTATTTGCTGACGTGGTGCCATAGTTTTTTTTGTTAATTGTGATTTTGTTTTAGTGTTTAAATGTAATAAAAATTCCCTGTATTTTTTCTTAATTCCTGGCTTTCAATTTTCATTGTTAATCCCCTCATCCCCTAGCCATCTCTGAAACGTAAGACATACCAATTCAACGTCCAAGGGTTTCTGTAGTGCAGTGCAATCGTTACAGCTGTAGGATTTTCAGGCAGGCCATTTCCTATCTCTGCATCTCCACATGTTATGTACAACGTATTTAGCTTTTATCAGTAACATGCATTTTCAGCAGGAAATGTTTGTTTCTACATGAAGTGTTTCTAAAGATGTTGAATGTGCTTGATAAAAAAAACAAACACATTCTTCCAACGTATTAGACTGAAAAAAGAGTATTTAGGCTCTAATCACAAATTACATTCTATGTCAAAATGCAGGACGACAGTGAATACATGAAAAAAAAAACAACGTCTAGCCATTTTAAATATGGCCTTCATCAGACTACAGTGGGCAGTGGTTTTCTCTAATCCACAGATGTTGTGACAGATGACAGCTTAGAGAGGTTTCCACATCCCAAAGCATGTCAGGCTGTTGGCTCATGTGAATTACAGTTTTGTCTCATTGCCAGCAGGAACCCAAGAGTGGCGACCCAGTCATTATTTCAGACGAGTCTGACTTGATTGACATGATTTCCTTCTCTTTCATTTTGCGCAGCCATCCCTGAACATCACTAGGGAATCCCTCTGCATTGAACAGCTGACAGGTGCCACACAATATCCTGTTACCTGGTTAAATCCCAATGAACATTTTTCCCAGGAGAGATAAGTGTTTATTGATATTTTTTTCTGCCTGCATAAACAGAAGGGAACATGACATAAGTTGCACACTGTGCTCTTTGCCAAAATGTATGTTGTAACACTAATGCTAACATTGATACTGGATAAAGATTAACTTCAACTTTTGAATCTTCACATACAACTCAACTTCTCTTTAAAACAGCTCCTGATTAAAATGACCATCATGTTCATTTCTATCCTTTTGGAAATGAATTGTGTGTATTCTCTGAAATAAAGGTTTATGTATGTAGATCCTTTCCAAGATTGATGATTGTCTAACCAATATTTCAAAATGATTGATTTTTAAAAAGTGAACTCGTAGTTTTTACACATTTCTTTATTGAAAACTAAATATGACTTTTATCTAAAAAAATCAGAAAATTAAGCCTAAGATTTGTAATAATCCAAGTTTCAATCATTTCAATAATATGATTATAACAGTGTCTTACAAATTCATTTGAAAAGACTAATGGAAATGTATGGAGTTTGAAAACATGAGGAATGATGAAAAATGCCTGACAAAAATGTGCACAGCATTTTGGATTGAGACACATTTCAAACATGGTGTAACTTTTTCCTTCAACCACTGAAGGCCGACAGAGCTTCTTATGAGGGGTGTTTAATAGCATGAGCAAGAAAAGGGCTAGTACAGATTGTGAAACAGAACAGCACAGAGTTGGTGTGAATTGTTGAGTTTTCTTGAGGGAGAGCTCTGGTTGAGTTTAGTCTCTTCTGCCTCTGCCAGTCTTCAGCCAGGTCACAAACTCTTTGGCTGCCTTGTCCTGCAGGTAGGAGCTCACGTCACTGGTGTAGGTGCCGTCTGCATGGCGTCTGAATAGACTCCTGTAGAAACACACACACACACACACACACACACACACACACACACACACACACACACACACACACACGTTATTTTGCAGCACTTATTATACAACACAATATTTAATAAAGCATGATCTTGAAATCTTTAAACTACAATTGAAGTAAACTGCCCTTAATTATGATGTAACTCACAGAATGATACTTGGTTGATTCAGTAAGAACAAGACAAAACTCACCCGTTCCTTTTTGAGTTCTTTAGCCACTGGACAAAGTCTTGTGCTCTCCTTGTTTCCAGGTATTTGCTGTAATCGTTGGAAAAAGTTCCCTCTGAATGTCTCTTCATGTTTCGGAGCTCGATGGGTTCATTCAGCACAGAGCTGTCAGACATGAGCCTAAAAAAATATTAAGATGTTTAGGTTAAAAGTTACAAAAATGTGATGCTAAAGTTTTTCATCAAGATTTCAACAGCAGGTCCTGACAGGCGGCAGATGACAGCACAATATCACTAAAAAGTAAGACATTTAAAAGGCCAACACATAAAACAGACAATATAAGGAAGTTGTAAAATTACATTAGATATAACACCCTTTAAAAACATATCATTTAAATAAGAGAATCATTTAATGTGATTAGAAACAGCTGCTCTTTTGAGCACAACTCTGTAACCTGTCATTTACTGTGCAGTCTGTAAGTTACCATGCTCTTTTCCTCTCTCTTCTTTCATGTTTGACAAATGTATCCCTCTCAACCAAAACCACACAGAGATAAGATAAAAAAAAATACATTTCAAAACAAGTAAGTTGCTTTTAGGTTAAAAACTCAGGAGAATATTTGAAACACCTTGTTGCAGCCTTGTCATTTCTTTCAAAAAACACAAAATCAACAGAAAACAGAAATGAAGTGCACATCAAGATGTTGACACCAAATACTCAAAGAATTTATCTTTATGGAGCCTTTTGGCTAGTGTAAAAGCTGAGAGTTGGTCTTACATAGAGTTTCGATCTGTGACCTGATCAGGCGCCTGCCAGCTGCTTTGGACGATGATGAGGAGCAGGAGTCCAGCCAAAGAGTGAGCGCCCGTCATTGTTGGAGCTTCTGAAAGAGGAGCAAAGTGGGATGGTGAGATTATAAATCAATCAAATGTTCGGTACACATTGTGGATGTTTGGAATGTTAAAAAATCTGAAATGTCTCACCTGTACTGCGGTCTGTTGAGCTTCAAAGAGAGTGATAAGAAATTGGGCTGATAGGTGACCGTCTTCTCTCTCTTGGCTTCTGAAGCCGTTTCAAGTTCCCCTTCTTCATCAAATCACTCTTATAAGGTGGAGCCGCGTAGAGCATTCTCCCAGGTGACTCCCCCGTCACTGACACCTCAGCGTATCCTCTGTTACTCTCAACCCATTAGTCAGCTTCCGTCACAGTCCACTGAATGTGTTTGACTTTGTTTTTTTTAAAAAGGAGGAAAGAAGCTACAAGTGAAAGCTGCTAGAATTTAACATGACCACTTTCCTGACGAATAGAAATAAAACAGTTTTGTGTCATTTAACAAAGATCAACAATCATCATTTTATTATCTATTTTTGTATAATCTATATTCCTAAAATAGATTTAAAAGTGTTCTTTATACTTTTGTGCATGTGAAGTTAAACTTGGAAAATATGGAATTTCTTTCTCCAAAGGTTCGCCCTGACTTGATAACTACAACTTAATAATTTAGTAAACCAAATGACATATATCTTTTTAAATAAAGTTTATTTCCACTTAAGGACATGACTGAGACAAGTATTATAACAGTCCACAACAAATCAGTGCAGTTCAATGCAGCTTGCTAAAAATCCTAAATGCATGCAGTGGCTTTTAGTATGTTTAAAATGTCAGATAAATGCTCATTTGTACAAGCAATCATTGCACTTAAAAACAATTGACACAAAAATACACACATTAAAAAAACAAAAACCTGTGGATATTTTTCCATAAGAAATGCTGTCACAGTTTTCACATCTATTGGGGATTAACGAGGCATTTCTGCAGGAAGTGGCTCATGAGGGTGTATACGTGATGGTAGGCTGTTCCTCTGAGTGCGTGGTCCCTGTCTGTGTACCACTGAAATAAAACACATCAAATAATATAAGTGAGCAAGTCTAACAGGCTTAACATCAAGAAATATTTACCAAATCAGTCACATTTCAAATCAAAGATATTTTGGACTTAGATAGATAATACATGCCAGTTTTTTTCCATGTAATACTTTCATTCAGTCCACATGTTCAAGGCCAATATTAGCCCCACTTCTCTGAGCCAATATTTACCATCGCCTCAAAGTCAACTTGCATGTCCACCAGAGCTTTGGAGATCTGTGCTGCCTGCTGGAAGTGGACGTTGTCTGCACAGGAAAGACGGCGTTTTCACAACGTGACTAAACATTAAAGCTCCAGTTTCCATTAAGGCAAATGGAGTGCATTGGTGCATGGTTGTGTTAGCTGATACACTGTTGAGAAACAAGGCTCAGAAATACATGCTCAAAAAGTGAAAGGAATAACATATAACTGAACGTACCATCTGCTGTGCCATGAACCAACAGATAGTCGACTGTCTTGAAGTTCTTTGCTCTGGCCGTCACTGTAGAATTCTGTTAAATAAAACAGAGATTTCCACTTTACTAAACATACTGCATTTCTAATGTCGTAAGTGTGCAGTCAGTTTTAGTGGACTTGTGAAAAATGTACTTTGTAAGAGTCTGCGTTCTCCGACGGCTTGCCCATGTAGCGTTCAGTGTACACTGCGTCTGCAATAGAAAAGCTGGTGAATAACATGATATTACAGAAGATACAATGCAAAAACTGAAATAGATTGTTAGAAGAAAGAAAAGATTTTTAGGAGAGTTAATCATGTTTAGATAGAGATGAGTATCTTTATTGGGGACCTCTTCGGTTTAACACATGGTGGTCTGTGTCAAGGTCCTGGCGATTACTGCATGTAAAGTTTAAATAAAAACATTTTTTGGTTAAAGAAGAAGCTGCACAAAGTTGAATTGTCTACAGATGGTTGAAGAATTCAAGTTTAAAAAAATAAATAAACCTGGAATTCTTCATTTAGAAATGTAAAAAAAAATTATATATATATATATATGTATAACCTTTTAAGACATACCGCTTTATTACATGAGTCACCTTAAGCATAATCTAATATTAACCTTTCCTATTTATTTTTCCATTTTCTTTTGTTCATTGTCTGAAGGAAATGTTGCTTTCAAACACAATTTTTTAAAATCTCAATGAAGAAATCTTTTAATAGAAGATGAAACCCCTAACTCCACCTCCATTTATGCATCTCACACACAGACTGTATAAAATATGGACATAGTCATAGTGATGTCAACCATTGGTTAATAATAGGAGTTCTGAAGCCAAATAATGGAGGTCGCCATATTGAAAATGCAGACACAACCAAGATTTATTGTTGGGCTTTTTGTACCTTTAATGGAGAGATAGGACAGTGGATAGAGCCAGAAAATCAGGGAGAGAGAGTGGGATGCGAGAAAGGAGCAACAGGCTGGATTTGAACCTGGGCCGCCCGCTTTGAGGACTACAGCCTCCATACACGGGACGCGCGCACTAACCACTGCGCCACCAGCACCCCAACAGGATGAGTCTTAAGCCTCCAGCTACAATGCACCCACATGCAGTCATATCAGTCACACTCCTTATTATGCATAACTCTTATCATTTGTTGAATCGAAGCGAATGAGATATTAAGAACTTCATCCCCTGTGGGCTGATAAAGACTTGAACTATTCAGACCAAAATAGATGTTTGAAGCAGGCTGTAAACATGTTTATTTCTGCTATAAAAATGGGCCTTTCAACATGGGTGTGAATTTGACCTTCGGGGCTTCTGCAGCCTCAAGGTACTGCACTTTTTTGGTACTTCCACACTGGCTTCATTTTCCAGTTTGCAGCAACAGTGAACAATGTCCAGTGCAGAAAGAGGAATTCTTAAATGAGATCTGTGTTATCTGAATATCTACTATAGACATCAAAAGCCCAAAACATGACTCATGTGAATCTTAGCTGTGGAAAATGTCAACAAAGGCTGTTTATCTGCTTGAATTCAGTTTGTCTTGACACCCACCCCATAGCAGTGAATATAGACATTGAAAATGACTATAACGTATCGTTTTATTCACTGATGGTCTGGTTTGCTTTCATTAGTCATACAGAGGCATGAGTTCCAACTTAAGATTTCATAACCAGCTCAGACCTCCTCACGTGAGCTTTTAAGTTGAACAGACTATAGCAGTTGGGCAATATTTTAAAATGTTCAAAGCTTTAGTAACCAATGAATAAGAGCTCTCAGAAAAGTTATATAGAGATGCTGTGTTTTCACTAACCATAATAATCCCACTTTGCTACTGGGGCAACTGCGATCCCACACTTGAAGAGTCCAGTTCCAGCACCGAGGGCCATCGAGGTAACGTAACCGCCATATGACTTGGGATCAGAAATAGAGAGTGTAGAGTGTTTAGAGAGTGTAAACAACTTGTTGTACAAATACAAAGAGCATCAAGTTGGTAAAAAAAAACATACCCAGCCCCATATAGCTATTCTGTCTTTGTCGATAAAACCCATGTCAATGAATTTCCTGCAACACAGAAACCCTTTTTACTCAGAACAATCCAAAAGTATTTGTACTTTAGTATGACTGCTTTATCAAGACAATGACATTAACTCCACTTTTCATTGAGAAAGGGTGCAAGTGAGGTCACAGAGATGATTAAAAAAAAACATTTTACCTCACAGCTGTTATCTGGTCTTCAACTTCAAACGTCCCAAGGCGCTTGTAGATTGAGTGCAATATTTCATCACCTTGGTAACCGCTCCCCCTTCCATCGAAGCTGGCGAAGATGATCCCATGTGTACTGGAAAGGTACGTTCCCCAGTTCAGTTTGAACCTATAGTCCACCTTTTGACTGCAGGGGCCACCATACCTGCACAGGTCAGTAAAAATCATCAAATGTTTACGCCTATCCTTTGAATTGTGTCAGTATGTAGCACTAAGAAGCTTTGTTTACTCACACATCGATAAGAAGTGGGTATTTTTTAGACTTCTTGAAATTTGGTGGTAGCATCATTTGATACCAGAGATCTGTTGGAGGTAAAAAACAACAACAGAAAAGCGACACAATTAAAGTTTGTTCATGAAGATTAAATTCTCTATTGTAATCACATTTATGCGTTAAATATGACTATTATTGTGTTTGTTTCTGAGATTTCTGACAAATAAAGTCTAAACATAATCACACCATTGACCTCTGACCTCTACCTTATTAAAAGCTTTCTATCTGAATCTCATTTTAAAGTTTACCTTCACATAAACTCTGAACTATTTAATTAAACTAAATGTATGTTTACTCATTTATCTGTGAATGGAAGAATATGTTTCCATGCTCAACTTCAACATGTGTATGGCAAACAGGGTTTTGTGACATCACAGCTGGTTTTAAAGACACACACTGAGAATGGACTTTTCAGTGAAGTGAAAGACATCTTCTGTTCAGGTAACACAATGTTTAAAAAGTACCTGTATTTGCTTATTCATCAACTAAGTAACCATGAAAGTTTTTTTTTTCCTGTGCAACAAAAACAACACACGACATGAAAAGTCTTACCAAATCCTGCGATCTTAAATGTGCCATACTGCATTGTTGGTATTTGGAATTCAGACAGAACATTTTCCAGTTCCTTGTTGTCTTCAAGAACGGAGAGCTCTGATTAAAAAAAAGACAATAGAATAAAAATAATGTGAAACTAGAAATGATGAACTAAACATAATAAATACTGCTGAAACATTTCTTTCCATTAAAACCAATAAGAATTTACTACTCTAGCATCATTTTCACCAGTAGGCCTGTGGCAAAGACAAGAAAGTTAACAGCTTGGGTAATCTGCTTCCCTTGGGACCTATTTGAGCCAGGCCTTTTTTTGTCTCCTTTGGCCTACTTTTGTTTTGGGCTTAATATTAAGTCAATCTAAATAACAATGCACAGGAAAACAGATAAAGGGGGTTTGTAAAAGACAAGAATAAACCAAATATCTTGATTTTTTCTTTGTAAAATGATCAAAACTGTTCTTGATATTCATCAGTGGGCCTTTAGGTTGGTTGAAGTTTGAACATAAAACTTGATTTCATAAATTAGTACAGACCTTCTCCTGGCCCTGTGTTGTCCATGAGTGTGTAGAGGGGAAATCCAGGTCCTAATAAGACACAAATAGAAAGTGCACACAGAGATGTTTACACATCAGGTCCTCTGTATTCAGAAGTGAGTATTGTTCACAGATGTTCTCCAACACATCCCCATGGATGATTTATTGCTCAACAAGAAATGTGTAAGGCTAACTGACCGTAGCAGTCCATTCGGTAGTAGGAGGCATCATAGCTGAAGTAAGCAGAGTTGGACTGACACCTGTCCTCATACAGGCCACAGGTGAGGCACTGAGGAGCCAAGGGGCTGCTTCCAATCATAACCCTGACAAGAAAACAAGCAACAACCTGCGTCAGTTATGGCACTGAGGTCAGCGAGTTCATTGTACCGAAGGAAAAACAAAACCATATGAGAAATGCAAATATGCAAAGAAACAAGAAGTCCTTACTTGTAAAGATTTCTCTTTACGGGTATTCCTTTGTACTCGTTACTCACAAAATATCTGTTCAAGACAATATAAATTGATCAGATTGACAGATTTGTACTTCAAATGTATCTTAAACATTCATATTTTTTTTCCAAGAAATGTGTTTTATCATCACTCACATGGCATCTTTTGTTAATTTGGATATGTAGATGACTTCCCACTTCCCTGAGGTGATAGGTGTTGCTTTGCCCTAAATGGAAGGCCCAGATTAAATATAATGCTCAACACCAAAGGTAGGTACAGCAGGGCAGTTTGTTTTGCAACTGTGTCATAAAAAATAATACTTACATCTTTCACATAATGAATGTGTTTGTAGCCTTGAGTGTCACTCATGACTTTGTAGAAACTGAGTTTATCTTCAGCGAAGAACAGAGGCAATGGAACGTACTGAGAAAAAATAAGATATTTTTAACAGCTGTTCTCTAAATCACAAATAAAATGAAAAATAAGAGTCAGTGTGTGGTAACTCTTTGGTCACTTACATGGCCGACCCAGCCTGTCTTGCTTGTTTGTTCAAAATTCTAAAGAAAGTAGAGACATGTATTTCAGTTAGAAATCCTTTGGATGATCTATTCTGAAACCACTTGTGATGTTCTGACCAGACAGCTACCTGTTTTTCCCTCCAGTTGGCTCCATCAAAGTCATAGATCTGTACAACCACGTAATTCTGTTTTCTTGAGAGCCACTGCACAGCGACCCGTTCATCTGTAATCCAGTTCACTGAGCACAAAATGTGATCACTGAGCAAAGGCGACAGAAGGTGACAAGATTTTTAACATCAGACAGAACACAGGGATGTTTTATTTTGCCTCTAGTTGAAAAGGGATGATTTTAACTAAAGAGTATACAGACCCAGAAGCAACAGAAGCAGGGGGGGTCACCCGTGTGGGACGGGATGGATTGGTGATATCAACCACAAACAGTTTCACCTTGGTGAGGGTCGACCCGGCCTACAAAAAACACAAAAACATTCCTAAAACTAATTATACATCATAAGATAGCGAGGACGGCAGATCATAAAGTACTGATCAGAGAACTGTTCATATAATGTGCGCTTATAAATCATAATTCATTAGAAATGCACGGCCCCGGTTGTTAAAATGTTTCATCTGAATACGATCAATTAATCCATTTTACTTTATTTTTATTTATTTTTTACTTTTTATGGTTATTAAATCTAAATTTGAGTACTTTTAAAGGACATTCATATTGCCTACTTTGTCCACAGGGGGTGCCAAATCCACAACAACCAATACGTTTCTTACAGATGTTGTGAAGTAAATATTTAATGTTAGATATTCACAATTACTTCCGATTTTTTTCATATATATATTTACAACTGTTATGTTTACTTTGTGTACTATGTCACTTTACCAATACAGCATTTCTTAAATATGTTCCTCAAACCTAACTTGAATCCATCCCTCTATTCCCGAAAATGATCCAGATTGCTCCATAAAAAAGATTCCAATCTTACTCAAACGTTTTGACATCACAAACTGGAGGTTCTAATGACTAGATTAAAAACAAGATTAGTAACGTGATTGGACAACCGATTTCAAATACTTTATATTCGTTTAAATGACCCATTCTCCAGATTTGGGATTTTAAATCCATTCAGATGACTTTGAACTGGACCCTGGATGTTTCATGTAATCTCCACATTTTACCTTTGGGTATGGGACAGCCACTGTTTCTGGATATTGCTCCGATCCATACCAGGTGAACTCCACTTTGTGAACGTCTGTATTGTTAAACTCTGCGTAAGCCAAAAGATTGCCGGTTGTGGACCACCATATTGCCCCGTTTGATGCAAACACTTCCTCTGAAAAAGCGGAATGTAAAAAAAAAAACATGTTACCATCCTCTGCGTAGAGAAAGAGTCACACATTTTCTGAAATTTAGAACCTTCCTTACCCTCATATACCCAGTCAGGGATACCATTAAGGATCTCATTCTCTTTGCCGTTGTGGGTCACTTGCACAGCTTCAGCAGTGATGTCAGATCTGACAAAAATGTTGTAGTCTACCACATATGCCTGCAAAACAAAATGTTGATACTGTTTTTGGTGTTTTAATGATAAATACAAATCTAGACGTCAGATTCTTAACTTTGCTTTATAAAAAAACATTTTATACACTAGTCTTATCACACAGGACGTGATACTGTATTGCAAATGTCATGTTTCCTTTAGGGACCAAGGCAGTACGTAAAAGTCAGTGCTGTTGGAAGTAGAAATAATTCTTGTAACATTTACTTTATGTGAAGACAAAGCTGCATGTTCTCATGGTGTATACTTACATATTTGTTTCCTGTCGGGGCCCACGCAAAGTACTGCACTATAGTTGGAAGACTCCCAGTCATAACAAATGTTCTGGAAAGAAAATGAAAAGAATTAGTGTGATCCCGTGTAAATCAGGGTGCTTCAGTCTGATGTGTCAGTCCATGTAACACTCAATTTTGTACTTTATCACTTGATTTAATAGATAATCACTTTACAAAGCTATGCCTGTTTTCTTATGTTCTATGAAATCATGCATGTTGTCAGCAATAAAAGATGGCAACTTACGAACTATTTCTGTCATAGATGGAGTACGAGGCTGTGAATGAATGTCTCCATTTCTGTTGGATTACAAAAACCAAACTCTTTTACTATACTTTTGATTAAAATGTGTTTTATAACCAAGCTTAAAGCACCCATTACATTTGACAGTAAATATAGCATACAAACAGATACACAAACCTATCTGTAGAGCAGTCTCTCACCTTTGTGAAATTGCTCTCAAAAGCAATGAATTTGTAATCTCCTGACAATAAGTAATGTGTCGCATCCACTTGATCCTGCAGGAGGGAAAAAATGAATTTGACTTCAGCATAGAGAAAGAGAAATATATTCACTGTTGTAAAAATATCTACAAATGGAAATAGAAGAATATTACAAAGGTTGAGTTGCTCAAATAAAGTGACTCCTCTTTTGTTTCAGCGTTGTGGAGGAAGACATTTCCATCTCTTGTTTTATGCAGATACTCCTTGTCTGATGAAACGGATAACAGTATACAAATAAGAGATCTTCTATAATGCAAAATGAAAACTTGTATTATCTTGCACAAAAAAAGAGCAACCTGTATAAGAGAGCTGTACCTGATATCCAGTACAAGTTGTAGGATCTCCACCTGATGGTGTCATTGAAGTAATCTTGAAGGGTGAAAGGCCTTTTGGTCCCATTAGGTTCTGAAATGATGCACATTTGGTGTTTTGTTGTTTTTTCTGGAAGCAGAAGAGCTTTTTGTAGAGTTAAAATATTGCTGCTAACTAAACATGCACACAGGGTGGCGCTATTTCAGGCAGCATGCTATAACATTGCATGCAGAAAGGGCAACTTTTCCCAATCATATCGTCATTGTCTTTCTTTGTCACAGCAACAGTTCAAACACATAACTCAACATGCTCACAAAACAAGGGGCAGATTTCCTTTGTTTTCCTTGTTTCAGCTTTAGTTTCAAAGGAGGTGTTTTTGATTAACTTGACACACACGCGCGCGCGCACGCACACACACACAAACACACACACACACACACACACACACACACACACACACACACACACACACACACACATAAGCAGCTGTAACTTACTGCTTAAATAAACGGATGTGATCGTTATCAACGTGATGACGACAGCCGCCCCCACCACCCCCCACAGCACCTTGTTGCAGCCCTGCGAAAGGTGACACAAAAGTTGCAAAAAAACAAGTCTGAATCACACAACACAAGAACACGCTGCGTTTAGGTTGTCATTCATTGTGTTTATCATACCACTGTGCTCTCCAGTCTGTACCAAAAGAAAGATATCTCTGCTTTTACTGTATGTTTTTCCCTAATACTAAAACTGATGGTAAATCGATTACTGACCATGATGCAGAAGTCGCCGTGAAGCTTCTTGTCAGTCTCAAAAATCCTCCAAAGTCTGTGGTGAGGCGCTCAAAGTCACTTCTTGGAGACGCAGCCAGGTTAACATACTCTCTCAACAATAAACTCCATAACAATGGCTGTAAACTATAAACTATACCATAAATAAATAAAAACGGAGCTCTTTCCTACTTTAGCTTCTCACACTTCCCACTGCATTCCTGAAAAGAAGTCCGACACCAGACCAGACAGACATGCCTCCCTGAAGTCAGCAGCTTGCACAACTTTTCCAAGAGCGCACAACTTGCTTGCTGGTATTTTAGGAAGTGGCTTTTTCTTTTTTTAACCGAGGGTGCACATTTTTCTCATCAGCTCTCTACCCCCCTGCTCGAACAACCGCAACGTTCCCCTTTTCCCACCCGTGAAATAATAAAAGAAAGAAATACTACAAAGTCAGGGAATTCATAACAAATACATTTTATTATGTCATTGATTCATGTAAACACAGATCATGGACACACTTTTATGGCTCCAGCATCCGTACAACTTGCATGTTTGTTCATGTCAAAAGATAGTCAGATGACACAGGTGACTTGTCTTTTTGAGGTCTTTTTGATTCTTTAAAAAGTAGATCTAAAGATAACATCTCTGACTAGCTCAACAGGAGTGACTCACTAACAGTTGGATTTAATGGAAAATAACCAGCACCTGCTTATCTGCTTTTGAGTTGACAGGTAGGCTCTGAGGGGCCGTAACATGCTCAGTGGCTCCCATCCCATGAGACCTCAGGGCTTCTAGAGGATTTTCATTCTCATTATTTTATTGTAATTATTGTTTTTCCAGTTCATTTTTTGTAAATGTATGTAAATGTACATCAGCTGTGAATTCAACTTTTATCACCACAAAAGCTACACCGCAACCTCAAAATTTGCTGGATATTTATGGCATACTGTAAGCTCGTTCACAACATTTTTTCAGAAATACTGTAGTTATTTGCAGTGCATGCTTAAACCCACCACCATATCTGACTCCAGTGTTCATTCCACTAAGCATTGCATGTCTCAGTGTACTGGTTACAGTGACTTTTGATGTGTAAGCCTCCCAGTGGAGAATACAACATGATTCAATGTCAGTCTACTGCACGTGGCTGTTTTTATTTAGATATCGTCGTCGTCTGAGATGTCTACCACGCGCCTCGCATGTTCAGCATAGTCAAAGGGAGAAAACTTGACGGAGAGGTCCTTCCACTTGTCGCATTTGCTGATCTTTTTCCCGCTGACAGTCACAATGAAGTATTTCACGTGGAGAGAGGGGCAATTGATCCCTTTGAAATACATCATGGAACCCCATCGCTGCAATGTAAAAAAAAAAGATTGAAGACATACAAGTATGTACAGTAAGAATAACTCAATTTATGCTTTATGTGCACCAGGGTTATTAAGATACTAGATTTTGAGACTCTGATATGATATTCATGGAAATAAAATCTATACTTTTTTGATACTACGGGTCATTTAAATAACAAGACTGTATCATTTTAAAACGTGGAATGGAAAAGTAAAGTAACTAAAATGTTGACACCCTTAAGATTCCCTCAGCTACAATACAGTTAACAACATGGCTACCATGAAGTAAGGATGAGTCATTGTTTCAAAGAAATATTAAATGGAATCATCTGGTATCTCGTGTGATTCTTTGACACATTGTTTCTCGCATTTGGAACTATTTATTTTAGTGCTGATGGCAGGTCTTGACTCACTTTGAACATAACAGCACCCTACATAAAAGCCGTATCCATCCTTTCATCTAATTTCCCACCAGAAAGAAAATAAACCATAAAGTCTAACCATTCCATTAAGTGTACTTTTCTCTAGATACTTTTCTCACGAGATTGAAATGTTCTGTTTGTCTCTCTGCTGCTCTGTCTTAACAGAATGATCACTAAGTCTATGGTTATTTTTGATTCACATGTAAACCTCTCATAAACACCTCAATGTGCCTGGAAGTCATTTAAAGCTAATAGCATGACTACACTGAAAACACACAACAGTTGGCCATCGCTCCCACAGGCGTTGCAGACTATAGCCGAAGGGTTCTGGGATTGAGTCTGGGATCAATTTTTTCTATTTACAATCCAAGCAGGAGAAAAACATTTTGTTGGGCTTTATGTGACTTTATTTTAGAGATCGGGGAGAGAGACAGAGAGAGAGAGAGAGAGAGAGAGAGAGAGAGAGTGAGAGAGAGAGAGAGAGAGAGTGGGGAACGACATGCGGGAAAGGAGCCACAGATCAGATCCAACCTGGGCGGCCAGCTTGGAGGACTACAGCCTCCCTACATGGGGCGCACGCACTAACCACTAAGCAACCAGAAGGAGAAATCATAACTGAAAAAAACAAAAATATGTTTACCTGGCCGCACTGTTTGCATGAAATGAAGCCATTGGTCTCATAATCCAGACATCGCTCTCGAAGGCTGGTGTTTTCTTTCAGGTTGTAAAGTTCACTAAAAGAAAAAACATATTTCATTGATCTTTGCTGTGCATAAATTCACCGTTAGATTGTAATTGCAGTTGTAGCATTAACACATCTTTGAGTTGTGATTCATACCTAAACTCCGGCGTTACATTGACTCTGTGTACATCGATGACCTGGATGTCTTCACCGGTGCAGACCGGCTTGCTGCAGCTACGGCAGGTGAACTTGACATCAGAAGGGTCGGCATCCTTTATGTCTTTCTTCTTCTTCTTTGACATTCTCACCCTCTCCTCCATGATAGACTGATACTGTAACTCCTCCATCTAATAGGAAGAAATAAATGTTACTGACCATATATGGTCTTACAGTGGTGTGGGTTTCAGTTTAATTAAGCAAAAAAAAAAAGTTTGAAGTGACCATACCTTTCTGTCATAGTCTGCTTGAGATAAGGTTCTGATTTTGTCAATGGCTTTGTTCATCATGTCAATGCGGTAGTCATTGACGCACTCCTTTTCAGCCACCCAGGCGTTCTTTACCTCGATCAAAATGAAACTGCTGTCCTCAGCTCTTCCTCTGCCTCTAGCCTGGAAAGGGAATGAAGGAGTCATTTGCAAATTACCAAAATAAAATAAAAATACAATTTTTACACTGCACAAACACGTGATGGACTCCACCTACCTGAATCATACCAATCTCATTGGTCAGGTGGCCATATTGGATCACAATATTGCATGCTGGAATGTCCAAACCTTCTTCAGCCACTGAGGTAGCGATCAGCAAGTTGACGTTGCCGCTGCCAAACTTTTTCAACACGTCCTTTTGCTCTGCCTGAATAACATATTGTAACATTAAGAAGGTTAAGTTATATACTCATTTAAGATCCCGGAATTCTATAGGCTAACATACTTTAGTAAGAACGAAAACATGCACTCACAGCGGTCATTGGTTTGACAACACTCTGGTCTCCTCCTCCAATGACATACGAGGCTTTCACCCCAATGTCAGCGAATTTAGGGTTTTCCTGGGTCCACTGAGTGAGAGCAATTGCGCTCAGACGTGTTTTGGTGAAAATGATCCCTCTAGCCTTGTCGCGTCTGCTGAACTCTTGCAGAATATTAATTCTTAGTTTTGTCAGGCTGTCATTTTCATACTCTGGCATATCTGAGAGCCTCTGCAACTCTTGCTTGTTCTCTGTAAGACAGATGGGAAAACACAGAGATAAAGTCTCTTTCATTATGAAGGTTTCAGAAATCATTTGAACTTTTTTGGAGATTCACATATTAGATATCTTGCCAAGGATTATTTTTCGATGTTCTATATTTCTCTAAAGAGAATTCTAATCTACTCTAATTATGAAGCCTGCTCAGTTTACAAACAGGCGGACTAGAGAGAGAGAGAGAGAGAGAGAGAGAGAGAGAGAGAGAGAGAGAGAGAGAGAGAGAGAGAGAGAGAGAGAGAGAGAGACAGAGAGAGAGACAGAGAGAGCGAGAGAGAGAGAGAGACAGAGAGAGAGAGACAGAGAGAGAGAGAGAGAGACAGAGACAGAGAGAGAGAGAGACAGAGACAGAGAGAGAGAGAGACAGAGACAGAGAGAGACAGAGAGAGAGAAAGGGCAGCGCAGTCAAGTCCGCGGCTGCACATCGGAGAACAACACAGAGAACATGACAGCTACTTTGTGTATTATTTTGAGTCATTTCAGTCAGATACAGACATGAAACTCTGGATTTCTCCTTAATGAAGGCTGTCAGTGTTGTGTACCTGCGTGCTCGAGCTCGTGCATGAAGTGTACCGTGCTGAAGCACACCTCTCCGAAGTGTGCCAAAGCCAAGGAAGTGTACCGTGCCTGAACGCGGTCACACTGGCCAAACAAACTGGACTTTAGGGTTGAAGCGTGCTTGGGCACGGTACAGATGGCCAGTGTGACCACGCCCTTAAACCCTATTCAGACTGCCATTTAAGTGGCGGCCATGATAAGAGCCGTTTGAATTCTCTAAAATCTAAGGAAAGGTGGGTCAATGCTCCCTTTATAACCTCCTTTAGCATAGGATACACTGGACCATCCTTTACCAAAGGAGATGAGATAATGCCGTCCCACAATTCCTTGCGGCCACAACATTTAAATGATTCGCTCTAACTTCTTTTTTCACTTAACCAAGAAACATTCTGGCAGATAACCAAAAGCACTTTTTTTCTCTTTTTCCTGTCTTTGTGCTTAGCTAAGCTAACCAGCAGCTAGCCAAACATTTAACAAACAGATATTGACAGTGTTGTAGATATTTTCCTACAGTACAACTCTAATCAATACAAGCATTTCACATCATGCGTTCCTAATCTAAACTAAGCTAACTAGTTTTCTTGATTTTACACAGTGACAAACTACTTTGCAGTACCATCAAACAACCAGAAGAGGAACCTCTCAGTCTCTGTCATTTGTATAACATGCTCCTCCTCCTCCGGTGGAGACTTCTTCTTCAAATCCTCCTCGTGGTTTTTGTTCAGGAAGGTGAAGGAATCCCGCATGCGGATAGTGTTACTGAGGTTAAGGCCCTCGTTGTACCGTCGAAGGTGCTCTGCACAAACCCGGACTTTATGATCTTCCTCTGTTGTCGCTAAAATAAATAAGGACACTTTTTAGATCCCAACAAGCCAGGTAGCTAAAAAAAAAGAAAACAAACACTGGACCAAAGGTAAGTGTCAGGAGTAAAGCATCAAGAGTTGGGCTCACCTGTTCGCTCTTTTTGAACAACCCACTGTTCATAATT